TGGATGGATGGATGGATGGATGGATGGATGAAGGGACGGATAGGAGGGTGGACAAATAAATCAATGGGTGGGGGGATGGATGGATGGATGGATGAAGGGACGGATAGTAGGGTGGACAAATAAATCAATGGGTGGGTGGATGGACGGAAGGACGGAAGGGTAGGTGGGTGGGTGGCTGGGTGGATGAAAAGATGGGCGGATAGATGATAGGTAAAAAGATGGATGGATGGATGAAAGGACAGATGGATAGGTGGGTAAGCAGATAAATCAATGGGTGGGTGGGTGGGTGGACTGGATGGATGGGTGGATGAACAGGTGGGTGGGTGGATGCATGCATGGATGGGCAGATGGATGGGTGGATGGATGGATGAATTGGTAGATGGATTGATGGCCTCTCATTATCAGATAAGTAAGCTGTCAACTCATAAAACGTTTTGTATACACGTTTTATAGTTGACAACAGAAAGAAGGTGGAGGGAGATTCAAAGAGCAGGCGGCAGTGTGGAATCGAAAGTACATTCCATTCCTACTTTCTTCAGAGACTGATTAGATGACTGAAGCTTCTGCCATGCAAAAATCTAATTGGAGAGCATGAGTGATGACTCTTGGCTATGGACGTGTTTCGTTGGAGAATATGAATTAGGATACACCCAGAGGGGTGGGGGGGGAAACCAGGGTCAAGGGTGACAGTGAATTATGTGTCCAGAGTCGGCTACACCCAGGTCATGCCGACATGTTGACTTCCAATAAATCCTTTGAAGTTTTGGGAGTCTGGCTCGAGACTGGCGATTTAATTGGGCTAACTGCCTGAATCCTGACAACAGCCTGCTTATTCAACCTGCCATCTTCCAGATACGTTGGACCTCATCTCTCAGAATTCCTCTCCTGCAGAGCCAAAGGCTAGGAATTTTGGAAGTTGAGGTCAACCATACCTTAGAAAGTTCCCCGTGGAAGGGAAATGTCCTGAAGTATGAAGTCTTGCGTTGGACTGCTGGTCCGATGGAGAGGTCAAATCCCAGATTTCAGATCTACCACAAACCAAGATCAGCGGATTAACCGTGGGCAACATCTAGCAAGGTTTAACATGATCTTTCCAAGAGGTGCGCCCAGGACAAACCGAGACTGTTGCATTGAGATTCTGAGTAGACCTGGACTTGATATAACAGCAGTTTGTACCTTCTGGTGCATCTCGCAGGTATGTGGGATCCTGGAAGTGATCCAGAGCCTGCAGAAGAGTTCCCCGTGCCAGGATCAGCTCTTCACTTTCCTGTTCGAACCGGGCAATGTGGAGGTCTTCTTCTCCCTGCTCACTCAACGGAAGTTCTCGGATGAAGTCCGGGAGAGAATCTTCAAGGTAAGAACTCATCTCCATGAGCTTTGGGTATCTCCCTGGGGTTCTGCTACTCGTGATGGGTCCAGAAGCTTTGGGTATCTCCCTAGGGTTCTGCTATGAGTGATGGGTCCAGAAGCTTTGGGTATCTCCCTGGGGTTCTGCTACTCGTGATGGGTCCAGAAGCTTTGGGTATCTCCCTGGGGTTCTGCTACTGGTGATGTCTCCAGGTGGACCTTCTCAGTTGATGGAGACTTGAAGCCGATCCTATACGTCAAGGTTGTGGTCGTGTGTGGAGCTCCTGTGTACGCCCAGAGGTGGGAGATAAGCACAAAACCAGCTGTGTTGTGCAGAAGGGTGTGATTTTCCGACCTGAACCAGAATAATAAGAGATAATAATAATAATAATAATAGGTCTTCTAATCAAGGAGAGAAGCAATTAAGAGAAAATTAAGGAGAAACTCCCTGACAACGAGAACGATTAATCAGTGGAACAGCTGGCCACCAGAAGTTGTGGAGGCTTCAACACTGGAAATTTTTTTAAAGATGTTGGATAACCCTTTGTCTGAAGCGGTGTAGGGTTTCCTGCCTCAACAGGAGGGGTTGGACTAGAAGACCTCCAAGGCCCCTTCCGACTCTGTTATTCTAGTCTATTCTATTTTAGTCCAACCTCCTGCCCTGGGGTTCTTCGACCGACTGGATCTTCTCAGTCGATGGCCTTAGAGTCTTGAAGCCTCTCATATATTTCAAGGTTGTAGTTGTGTGTGTGGAGCTTCTGCGTAGGCACAGGAGTGTGACGTAACCCCATAACCAGCTGTGTTGTGCAGAAGGCTGTAATTTTCTAATCTGAACCAGAATAACACAATTGCTGAGTTATGAAGGACCTTGAGATCTTCAAGTGTAACCTCCTGCTCAAGTTCTTCTACCGGTGATGGAAATGAGGTTGGATCCAACTAGATCTTCTCAGTCGATGGCCATAGAGACTTGAAACCTCTCGTACACTTCAAGGTTGTGGTTGTGTGTATGGAGCTCCCTATGTAGACGCAGAGTCAGAAAACACTCCAACAGACCACAGCTGCGTTGTGAAAAAGGCTCTTGGTCTTCACCTCTGGGCAGGAAGATCTCCAAACTCTACAGAAAGTTACTCATCTCCTGCTAAAAAACAGCCTTCCTAATGCAGGTGGTCCTCGACTTACAACCATTCATGCAGTGACCATTCGAAGTCGCCACGGCATTGAAAAAAGTAACGTCTGACCGTTTTTCCACGCTTACGACCATTGCAGCATCCCTGTTGGTCACGTGATCAAAATTCAGATGCTTGGCTGCTGACTCATATTTACGACAAGGGTCGTGCGATCCCCTTTTTCTGACGAGCAAAATCAACGGCAGTGATTCGCTTAACAGCTGTGGCAAGAAACGTCATAAAATGGGGCAAGGTCCCTTTCACAACTGTCTCACCAAGCAGCATAAATTTGGGGCTCAGTTGTGGTTGCAAGTCGAGGACTGCCTGTATTGGAGACGTCTTTCCCAGCCCAGTGGCCTCCAGTGACCTTGCTGTGCAATTCCCATCACGCACAGCCAGCTGGGTGCCATGGGTGCTGCGGTTCGGCCTGTCGAGAGCGTTACAGCTGATACCGCCATATCCCAGGCGCCCCTCCAGTGCAAACCACGTTGTTATTCTTGTTTGTTTTTGCACAGATTTTGTACAAGTTGCTGAAGTATGAGAAGATCCACGAACGGTACAAACACCGCTTGAAGCTGAAGGACATCGGCTACCATGGCTTCATCTCATACCTGAACGACATCCCAGTTTCCATATTGTTCTTCCGGTGCCTTCTGGAGCAAGTCCTTGGAGCAGGTACCTGCCCAGGGGCCTCTCATAGTTTCTCTGGTGGCTTTGGGGCCTGGAAGGTTCAGTAGTGCTCCAGGAGAACCGAAACACCATGGTTCGTTGCAGTCCCACTACACATCTTTCCCGCTTGATTGTGAACATCGTGGATCGTTCTTGGTCCAATTCTTGGTGCCGAGTACAGCTTTCTCCTAACCTGCTGGCCAGTTTCAGATGAGTTTTGGAGCATGGATCTAGAAAGAAAGTGGGCGGGGTCTTGGTTGAGTTCTAGACTTGCAAGAGAGTTGAACGCTTGCCCATTCTTTGTACTTTCCTAAAGAGGACGTTGTCCTCTCGTGTGACTTGGTTTGAGAGCATAGTGGTTGTCAGAATGTGTGACCCTTTGCATCTCTGGAGAAGAGTGAGCCAGAAGGAGAAACAGCTGAAGCCCACAGTTGGCAATGTTCTCAAATATGTAGAGACCACCTACAGTAGAAATCCACCAACCCATGTGAGATGCCTACACTGTGTCTAGGTTTCCACAATAGGCTAGACTACATCAAACTTCTTCTTCCTGGTTCGAGTATGGGTTGAGAGATGAGCCAGTGGCTTAGCGGTCCTCAACTTGGCTAGGTCTTTTACAAACCTTTCAACATTTGAGATCTTCTGGACAGTGAGGTTTGACTGCCCTGTGAGTAAGGCTTATTTTTAAGAGGGTCTGTCGATTAACATTTCTCAACCTTGGCCGCTTGAAGATGGGTAGACTTCAATTCCCAGGATTCTCCAGCCAGCCATGATGGCTCGGGAATTCTAGAAATTGAAATCTACCCACTTTCAAGCAACCAAAGCTGAAAAAAAAAACACTGATATGTTGTATTCATCAAATACTAAACAGAGTGGGTTTGTGTTTGGTTGAGCTGAGGAGCTTAGATGTTGTAGGAACCAGCTGTTTTACATCTGCCCCTGTGGATTGACGGATTTGCAAGAAACTATCTGAACATGATTCTTACGTGTAGGGTGACAACGACCTGAGAACTTTCGTCTTCATTGTAGTAATTCTTAACTGTTCTTTGCATTTGTGAGAACCCGTCAAACATTTCGCGCTTTAACATGGTTTTGACATAAGTGAGAAGCTGTTTTGATCTTTGTTTTCTTATCCTCAGATTCCCCGAACTACAAGGATCTGATGGCCGTTGTGTACCTCTCCCACCGGGCAGATCTGACGGTCAGACTGGACATCTGCAGGAAGGTATATAGGACTTGGAACCCCTTGGTCCAACGGGAGCGAAACAGGAGGTGGTTTTGAGAGGTCCTCGGTACGCTCTGAGCTTACTTGTTTCCTTGCAGACATTTCATGACCCGACTAGGGAACATCATCCGTGCTCGAAGGGGTTGTATATAAACAGAGAGCAGATTCCCTCACCCTTCCAGCACGGATGATGCTCCCTAGTTGGGTCATGAAATGTCTGCAAGGAATCAAGTAAGCTCAGAGAACTCCAAGGACTCCCTAGTTGTCATCCTCCTCCTCCCTGCAAACCCCACCTCTTGCGTTGACGATGTCACCTAGTTGGGTCATGAAACTGTTAGGGATACACCTCCTTTCTTCCTTCAGCAGCAAGGAACACGCAGTTAGCAAACCATCAATCCATCAAACCAGCAATCGTCAGCAATCGTCAGCAATCCAGCAGGTTCTCTTGCTCCCTCTTATGGCGGTTTCGCAACCTCACCCAAAATTACATGCTTTGCAGTTTAAAGTGACACACACCCAAACTTACAATCATAGTTTATATATATTATCTTACCCAAACTACGTTAGGTAGCCTTGTTATTCCTAACAGAAACGTCTGCATGAAAACCACCAAGTTCAGAAAGCATCAAGGGCTGCAGAGTTTCCTCCCACCCCCATCCGTGGTTCTAGGGATGAATTAGCTTAGATTCACTGCAAAAACACAAGGGGTAAGTTGCAGCTACCCCTGAAGTCCTTTGTAGCCTCGCTTGGTCGTTCCTAGGCAAATGTTGGACAGATTCCTGTACAACAGGCAGGAAACAATGAAGTAGACCGCTTGAACTCTAGGCAGGTGGGTCTGGTTGTCCGTGCCTGGCACTGACTCCCTTTCTCTCCTTCTCCAGCTCTTCCACCTCATTTACTCACAGCACGACATGGTGAAGCAACTGGCCAAGCTGGCGGGCTGGCAGGACACCCTCACCAAGCTCTACGTCAAGGAGTCGTACGAGTCTCGCCAACACAGCCTGTCGAGCTCGGCCAACGGAGTGGACTTCTTGAAGCTCTCGGAGCAGCAGCCCAGCCTGGAAAGGGGGAAAGAGATGGTGGGCTCCAGCCCCTCGACCTCTGAACTGCCAGACCTGGACGTCTTCCTCCCCCTGGATTACGAAGCGTCCGACCACGAGCTGTCCGAAGGTTTCTCGGACCTGTCCGTCTCTCCCACCAGCCAGAAGAACAAGGTCTTCCAGTCGTACGCCTTCAAGTCCTTCGACTCCTTGGAGCTGGCCAGCCACTCTTCCTCCTCCAACATCATGGACCTTCCGGGGCAGGGGGAGGCCCAACCAGGAGGCCCGGCCGACCGCGTCTACCACCCGCTCTCGCCTTTCTCCAATTCCCTCTTTGACCTCGGCTTGGATTTGGGAAGCAGCAGCTCGGCGGCCACCTTGGAAAGCGGCAACCAGACGCCCCTCAGCCTTTCGGGGACCCCGTCCCCTCTGGAGAACTTCAAGCCGTTCCCAGGTTCGAGGGCTCGGAAGAGCTCCAGCTTGTCCAATGTGCTGGACGAGACGAGCTACCAGGAAACGCTGCCAAGCGACAGCATCTCCAACACCAGCAACCCTCAGGTGAGTTTGGATGTCCTCGGGAGGTCTCCTCCCTCAGCGGATGGCCTCGGTTCTTGACCCGGTATTTGGTGGATTTTCCTCCCCATGGGTTCTTCTCCGGCCAGCCCCTGGTCCTCGTTTTTTATAAGGGCAGTTCCTGAACTTACAACGGTTCGTTTAGTGACATATGGCACTGAAAGAAGGGACTGATGGCGGGTTTTTTTCCCCCACGATCTTTGCGGCGTTCCCACGGTCAAATTCGGATGCCCGGCAACTGACTCGTAATCATGATGGTTGCGATGTCCCCTAGATCAGTGGTCGCCAACTGGTGGGCCACTGGTGGTCCATGAGAAAATTTTGGTGGTCCGCAGAGAAATATCCCCCCCCAAAGCAATTAATCCAGGCTGTGCAGGAACACAAGGCTTGCGTCGCTTGCATTGCGAGCAACACGAGGTAGTGAGGGGAGGGAGGAAAGGCGGAGGGAGGGACTTGCCCCATTTGCCCACGCGCCTTGCCTGGCTACCGGGCTGTTTCTTTCCGCTTCTTTCTTCTTCTGCTTTTGGCTGCACGCAAGGAAAGCAGCCAAAGTCTTTCTTTCTCTCCCCTGAACTCCGCCAGAAATGAGTCTTTGGGACCCTGCAAGGCCTCCTGCTCCAAGAGGCTGAGCCGGCAAAGACTCATTTCTGGCGGAGTTTGGGGGAGAGAAAGAAAGACTTCTGCGGCTTCTGCTGCTTTCCTTGCATGAAGCCAAAAGTCTCTCTCTCTCTCTCTCTCTCTCCCCCTCTGAGAACGGAGCTGGAGACGGTATCCTGCGATCCCAAATAAAGAACAATCGATCGGTAGGAAAACGGGGTGGGGGATTTTCCTGCAGACTTTTGGGGGGATTTTCCCAGGGTCTCTGGTCCGCGGGATTTAAAATGATGGGTTTGGTGGTCCCTGAGGTCCAAAAGGTCTGCGACCCTGGAATAGATGATCTTTTCTAACGTAAGTTAATGGGGAAGCCAGATTCACTTAACAACGGTATTACTACCATAACAATCTGCCGTGATCCGCATAACAGCCCTGGCACGAAAGGTCGTAAAATGGGGCAAAACTCACTTCACAAATGTCTCACTTAGCAGTGGACATTCTGGGTGCAACTGTAGCGACATGAATGACCATGGGTGGGTGGGTGGGTGGAGAATGCTGCAAGCAGCTTTTTTTAAGTGTGAAAAAATATGGTGATACGTCGCTTTTTCCAGTTGGGACTTTGAATGGTCACTCAATGAACTGTTGCAAGTCGAGGATTACCTGTGCTCTGTGGGAAGCCAATAAATCAAACAGGTAGGTAGGTAGGTGAGCTAGGTAGGTAAGCCAGGTAGGTAGGTAGGTAGATTAGATAGATTAGATTAGATTAGATTAGATTAGATTAGATTAGATTAGATTAGATTATAGATAGATAGATAGATAGATAGATAGATAGATAGATAGATAGATAGATAGACAGACAGACAGACAGACAGACAGACGGAGGCAGGTAGAGGCAGGTGCGGCTGTTGTGCCTCCGCCTGCTGTCTTAGGGCCTGCAATCCCGCCATCTCATTCCTTCCCGCCCCCAGCAAACCCCGGAGGAAGAGCTCTGCAACCTGCTGACCAACATCATCTTCTCGGTCACCTGGCGGGGCGTGGAGGGCTGGGACGACGTGGCCTGGAAAGAACGAGGGCAGGTCTTCTCCGTCCTCACCAAGCTGGGCTCGGCCTGTGAGCTGGTCCGCCCACCTGACGAGATCAAGCGCAGGTAAGGGGAGGGGGGGCCCCCACGGGGCAGAGGGGCCCAGGGGAGCCTCCGGGGGCTTTAGCGGTTGGATGCCCCAGGCCCTCCGAAGTCGGTGGTTTCCTTGCCAGCGTTTCATGACCCTCCTACGTAGGTAACATCGTCAGTGCTAGAAGGGAGGAAGGTTTCAAAGAGGAGAGGAGAGGAGAGGAGAGGAGAGGAGAGGAAAGGAAAGGAAAGGAGGAAGGTTTCAAAGAGGAAAGGAAAGGAAAGGAAAGGAGGAAGATTTCAA